GGAGGATTGAATGGTCCACAGTGTCAAAAGCGGCGGAGAGGATGAAGAGGCAGAGGGAGCCCTGGTCACACATGGTTATGTCATTTGTGCCCTTGACCAGAGCAGTTTCCGTGTTGTGGAGTGGCTCATGGAGGGAGTGGGGGGAGAGGAAAGAGTGAAGCTGGGAGGCAATGGCTCTCTCAAGAACCTTGGACAGAAAAGGGAAGTTGGAGTTGAGCCAGTAGCTGGATAGCTGTGTTGGGTCAAGGGAAGGTTTCTTCAAGGTGGGGGTGATAGTGGCTGTTTTGAGGGGGGTAGGAACAGTGCCAGATGACAGGGAGAGGTTGATGATGTCGGCGATTAGTGGGGCAAGGAGTTGGAGCTGGGATTTAAGGAGAGGGGTGGGGATGGAGTCCAGAGAGCAGGTGGTGGGCTTTATGAAGGAATTTAGTTGATCTCTATCAGGTTGCTATACTATTGTCAGTATGGTACAATATGAGTTCTCCTTGTAATAAACACTTGTATAATGGATGTCTTTGTTCTATGTGAATGAATGGGGTGGGTCTAAATTATCCATTGATTATGGCTGAAGCGACTATGAGTTGTTGGTGCTTAAGATAAACCTCTGTGCTATAGCAGAAATATATGAGCATTTGCACCTTAGCATTCTGGATTAATCAAAAACGTATGCACAGAATATCAGAGGCAAAAAATATATAGTATCAATGCTCATGAGATGTGTTGTGTATCAAATTATATTTTTATATAATCTTGAACAGTATTTAAAATCGTTTGCAGACATTATAGTTAGCTGGGACTCTCATATACATAATTTCAAATACAGAATTAATAATCATTTGATGTACCAGGGTTACCAAGGTATATGTTTTGCCCACAAAATATACAGTCAATTCACTTTACAATACATTCTGTGAAGCGCTTTGCAATGTTTCAATGACGTGATAAGGCACTATATCAAATGCAAGGATTATTATATTATTATGTTAGGTTACGGGAAACCTACTGTCCATTGATACAGTGTTATTTCTTCTAAGCCTCTCTGTGTCAGCAATCATGAGTTAGGGATTTTGTGAGACACCTGGAATTGTTAAAACACTATGCAAAATACTGCAGATGCTGGAAATCATTGTTAAAACACTAATGCTTACATTTATATAAAGCGCCAACAATATTAATACAGAAGCTCAGGATCTGAGCTCGCAGTATTTCAGACCAAATATGTAGAATAACATATGCGTTGCTTGTATTACATTATCTGTTGTAATTTTTCACACATTTTAGAAACTGAATGAAGCAGCATGATTCAGCAGTTATAGGCTTATCTATTTAGGACAAACATCCACATAATTGCCACACAGTGCAGCAGCTGGATTTCCAAGGGCATCAGTCAGGAAACAGAAAGCAACAGAAATTGCTTAACTGCTCTTTAATAACTACAATATTTCAGTCTTTATCATCAATGGGGCCTACAATGCCTTGTTAGTACCTTAACTGATTATTTGTAGGTAAAATTTGTGGCTGAAATTGGTTCAATCTTGTTCACTTTGCAACAATTCACTTTGGACTGGTTATAAGTGTTTGTTTCTGTGAATTCTTTGTCTAAGGATTTCAAAGTCTATTCTCTTGAAAAATATCAATCAGAGAAGACTACAAGATATGTTTTAATTATGAGGGGGTTTTGATAAAGGAATCTCTCAGAGATTGTTTCTGCTAGTTTTTTGGATTCATAGAATGTTACGGCCATAGAAGGAGGCCATTCGGCCCATCGAGTCTGTGCCGGCTCTTTGACAGAGCAAGTCACTTTCACTAACCCCAATCACCAGCTTTCTCCCCATAACCCTGCAAACCCGTCTTCCCCAGATACCTATCCAGTTCTCTCTTAAAAGCTGTTATCGAATCGGACTTCACTACCCTTTCAGGCAGATCATTCCAAATTCAAACAACTCGCTGAGTGAAAAAAATTCTTCTAACCTCCTCTCTGCTTCTTTTGATAGATATCTTAAGACTCTGACCACGGGTCACAGACACACCTACCAGCGGAAACAGCTTTTCCTTATCTAGCCTGTCAAAACCTTTCATGATCTTGAAGTCCTCTATCAGGTCCCCACATAACCTTCTCTGCTCTAATGGGAAAAGTCCTAACTTCTCCAGCCTGTCCTCATAGCTAAGGTTGCCCATTCCTGGTACATTCTCGTGAATCTCCTCTGCACCCTTTCCAGTGCCTTAATGTCTTCCTGAAGTAAGGTGCCCAGAACTGGACGCAGTACTCCAGCTGAGGCCTAACCAGTGTTTTGCATAGATTAACCATAACCTCCCTACTCTTATACTCTATGCCCCTACTAAGTTGTTGAGTTAGGAACTAGAGGGCATAGATTTAAGGTTATTTTCAAAAGAACAAAGAGACTGTTTTGGGAGAATATGTTTACACAGGGTGGTTAGGATGTGAAATACTCTGTCAGAAACCATGATTGAGGCAGAATCTATATTAATAACACTAATCCTTGCATTTGATATGGCACCTTTCATGTCGGGATGATGTCTCAAGGTGCTTCATGGTATTTCCTGTGTATTTTGTAAATTAAGTTTTATTGTAGCTTTTATGAGAGAATTATTAAATTATTAAGTAAATATCGGAAAATAAGAATATAAAATAGTATGGCTAAACAACAGGAAAATGGGACAAATCAGAGAGTTAGCACAAGCATGTTGGGCTGAATGGCTTCTCCAATTATGTGAATGTCTATGGATCTTTGTATGTGTATGTAGTATGCAATATGTGTAACTATTTCATTACAGAGGGAATTGTTCTTAATTATAGAATGAAAAGTATTTATTCATGTGCAATTTGCAGCCAATATTTTTATTGGTTATTAATTACATGATTAACATGTAATATCCTTTGTACACAAGTCTTTCCACATGGTGCATAATAAACATTTATTTACATATGGGCTTTGCGATGTCCTGACATGAAAGCTGCTATGTAAATTGTATTGTATTGTACATGGTGCATAAATAGACCCAATATTATAAAAACACAAACAGGATAACAGGAATTTGAGCTTTGCTTTTTACCTTGTAATCTGAATCACGGTGAACCTGGAAATCTTTTTTTAAAAATCATATTTCTGCAATATTAATTTCCAAACGGGAATACTTTATTTTATTATTGATTTACCGTTACAATTGTATAATGGTAGACAACATGCATCATACACTTTGTATTGTCACTATGCATTACGCATTGCCTAACCGGGATCACAGTAATTGTAAATAGTTTGCGCGTGATTCTGGCAGATGATGCTGTTATTTATTGATTTTCTTAGATGTTCAAAAAGGCATTCTTGTTTGGGTCATTTAACTCTGAGAAATAGTCACTCCTTCTTAAAAAGTGTAATGAATTGACTCGGTCAGTGTGCAAGAAAAGATTACCCACATTGCAAATGAAAGAACATTTGCTTTTGATTTAGCATCTTATCTGATCAAAGTGTATTAATCTTTTTACATAGCAGACTTAAAATTGACGCTTGTCTTGTCCCAATTAACATCAGTGAGAATTAACACTGATAACATCTGTGGATCAGACAATATCTTTAGAATCCTTTCGCTTATGTTTTCTGCAATCAGGTACAACTAGGATTTATTGTTTTACAATTTATTACAAATAGCAATTGTTATTTATATAAAATTGTATTTGAAATATATTGCTGGCTATTCATTTGCACTATTTTAAAATCTAAATTGTTACCCACTACTGTGCTTTTTTCTTTGATGGGCAGGAATAGTCTTGTTTGTGAGGAGGAACTTCTGTGCTTCCAATTTCTACATGGTTACCTCCAGTGACCTTCCATTGTCAGCCAATTGGAAGTATGCTGCAAGATGGAAGTGATGATGTGAACCAGAGATTATCATTATCAATTGATAAAAAATGCTTTATCTAATAGCTGCTGATTGAATATGTACAAGAGTTGTGACTTGGATATGAACTTTGATCATTCAAATAGTAGTTCAGTGGACTGCATTTTGAAATTACCTGCACTATCCCCCAGGGTTCATTCATTCAAGATGACTAAGGCACACATCGACTTGATTCAATGTAAACCTCTGTATGCATTTACAGAACTCTGCCCCAAAAGAGCATGTAGCTTGCTTCTTTTATGCAGTGAGTTAAGAGTAGACAGAATCACCTTGTATATCACCTTTGAACCCCCTCCTTCCACCCCTGCCCTCCACCCTTCCCGATCCCGACCCCCAGCTTGGGTCCGAAACACTGACTGTCCAGAACCTTGGGTCATCCTCCCGACGTGGAAGGCACTATACAAATGTAATTTTGTTGTTGTTTAGTTTCTCATGTTATACTGCAGGAAATCAGGTCATTCACTGCATTCACTCGTCACTGTGTCCTTGTGGATTGCAGCAAGAAATTGTCTCAAAATGAGCATTAAACTGAACATGGAAAGTTGTGCGACCTGAATGTATCAATGAAATTGCAAACATACAATTGGAATGATATTTGTTACATGATCATTAAGACATAATATGCTGCCAAACGATGTCATCGTGCAATCTCTCTCCTCCAGCAAATCAACTCTGGATCCTTATTCTTCCCATGAAATGCTTCCATGGCCTTGGAAGCCTACCTCTGTGATCTACTTCCCTGCTCATCCCTTTGCTCTGCCAACACTGGCCTGCTTCATATACTCCTATCCATTCTGTCCCACCATCAGCAGACCAACTTTAAGTCATTTTGCCTGCCCTTTGAAACTCTACCAACAGTCCCGAACCTCCCTGATTTCAAAACAAATCTAAAGACTTATCTCTTCGATTGTACTTTTGGCTCCAATCCTCCTATCTTCCTTCCATCTTGGGCTCCCACTCTATCTTTAGTAAAGCACTTTGAGATGCTCTTCCTATTTGAAAGGTACAATATAAGTGTAAAATGTGGTTGTTGGTGCCTTATTATAAATTACATATTTCAGTATTTTTATTTTTTTTGTTAGAAAGCAACTGATTGCAGAACTTGATCAAGATGAAAAGGATCAGATGAACGCTTCCCATCTAATGCAAGAATACCAACAAGTCTCTGAAGACAATCAGTCATTGACAACCTACCATTTACAGTGCAGAGAACATCTAGAGAAACTTCGGGTATTACTGCAACAACAGCCAGGATCTTCCTGACTCTAGGCATGTGGTCCTGTATTTTATTTATGGCAAACACAATGCTGGAATAGCTGTGGAATCTTCTTTGCAGATTCACGGAAACAAATTCGAGAAATTTGCAATGAGGAGAAAAGAAGCCATTTTGGTCGTTCACTGACTAACTATGAAGTGATTTGCAGCATTGCTGCATTCGACATGAGCTTGCCTTTTTAATGTGTATCCAGTATGTAGCAAGACTTGAAATTGCTAGCATGAAAGAGTACAACATGGAAAGAAATTTAGATCCTAAGCGGTCATAACAATGCAAGTTTTCATATAATACACCTACATCCTTCAGTGAAATCAATTAAAACACGGATGATCATTTTTTTAAACATTTGTACAATAATCATCAAGTAAATGCTTGTATGCTGCTCATCAGGATATATTGTATTTACCATACTCTGAAGTACAAATTATAATCTATAGAAAAATCAGATTATCTTAAAAATACAGTGCATGCAGAGGACTTAAAGATGCTTGCTAGAGTGACAGAGCCAGAGTTTGAAACCTTTGAAAGTATTCTGAGATGTGTCTGTTTTCATTTTCAGTGCAGAATGGGTTACCATACAGCCTTTTTGTATAATATAAACTATGCGCCATTACCCTGCTGTTCAACTCAATATGCTAATGTCAAAAAAAGAGTGTGAATGCAGAGTTTGCTAATGTGGATCCCACCCAAAGACTTACAATCATTTTGTTATGTGTTTATGAAGATTGTTGGTGTTCATGATCAGAGGAGTAGTAGACCCCATCATTTTATGAAGGTGATAATTTAATTGTTGGTGTTCCTAATAATCTGAATAATTTGGAAGGAGAATAATTCACTTCTTCATTCAGGTGATCTCACTTGATTATCTCCTCACGTCTGCTTGTTCTCCATCTCTGCTCCCACCTCTTGCTCACTTTGCTGTCTCAGTTCCCACCTCCAACTTTCCTTCCAGTTTCAGCTCCCGACTGCTGCTCATTCCCGACTTGGCTCCACTCTTGCTCATTCCTGCCTCTTGCTCCCTTGCCTGATTCAACTCCTGCCTCTCACTCCCCTTCCTAATTCAGTTTCATGCTCACTTACCCAATTTAGCTCCTCGTCATGTTTACCATTGAAATTGAATGCCTTTGCTAGATGTTCAAATCTGTTAATTATCAATTTGATACGGTTAAGATCAAAATGAAAGACACAAATCTTAAATTATCATTGTGTGAATATCTGAATCACACAGGGTTTAAGCCTATTTGCATGTCTAACCTTTACCTAAAAGTGTGTACTTAATCCATTGCTTTTATTTCTTCTGCTATGTTGAGAACTAATGGTTAGTTATTTGGAATGCTGGGTGGCAGGACTGTATCTGAATATAGAACATCCAACATGGGAGTAAGGTTATTAAGAGATAACCTTAATTATCTATTTGTTACAATAATGCTTTGAGATAAGTCCCTTCCATTGTGGACGATTGAGGTTTCATGGTATAATTTTTTAACATTTATTTTTCACCAGTTTATGTTTCTAGTCTTTCTTCATCTGTAATAGTATTTCTCTGTTTTTTAAAAAAAGGTTTTATTGGTTTTGCACTGTTCATTAATTCAGCTTTACAATACACGCAGTGTTCAGAGTGTATGGAAATCCTCTGTAGATGTTAAGTAATGGAAGTGTGTTCTCAAAGTTGCAATAACATGTAAGTATTCAAAGGATCAATACAAAATCTAGAAAGTTGTTTCCAGAGGTCATATCATAACTGTATCATTATTTGAAATGGTTGTACAGCCTATAATTCTAATAAAACTTGTGGTGACATGATTTTTACAGTTTTTTTCATAATAATAATAACAGATTTTTTTCATAATAATAGTAATCCTTATATTTGATAAAGCGTCTTTCATGTTGGGAGGATGAACCAAAATGCTTCACAGGATATACTGTAAAGTGGAATGATTGTGTGTTTTGTAGGCAAACATGGCAGCCAATTTGCACTCATCAATGTCCCACAAACAGCCATTTTTAAAAAGCAAATATTTGTACCATTTACCATACGTAAAAATATCTAAACAAGACTGAGGCACTAGGTCAAAATTCTTACGGATATTGATGGATGCAATGTAGCTGGGTTTGCCTTGAGCCTTACCGCATTCTGCAATCTCCTCAGTATAAACCCATATTCTTCCATGAAATGGAATTGAACCTGTTGGTTCCTAATTACTCCATGGGTTTCCAATACATCTGATATACATTACCATGACGACCTGAAGCACCACCTTAAAGCCACTGAATCAATGAGATTCCTCTCAGTGCACTGTTCAGCCTTTCCCACCAGCTCTTCCAACCTCTGTGCAGTCAACAGACTATTGGGTCAGACACAATCTATGGATAATTTTCTCTTCAGACCCCAAGGACACCTTCAAAGGTCTCACAAACAATCATGAAGCGAATGATCAATTTTATCTGGAGGATTATTGTCAGGACACAGGCAGCAACTCCCTTCTCTTTTACACCTGAACAGACAGAAGGAGTCTGGGACTGAGCATCTCCCCATTTTCTGTGTTGTTCTTGAAGTTTTTATATTATTTTCAGAAATTGAAGAAAAATAAAATCAATATATTGGCTGTTTTTGTTCCAAGTAGGAAAGAGGAGTTTTTTTAAAAAGAAAACTTAAAAATTAAAAGGATGAAAGAAGATTGATTTTCATTAAAGAGGTAGAGTTCAGCTACGCAGACACTGATCCAACTTGTTTTGAAAACATATGTTGTGAGTGTTTCATGCAAATAGTGACAGTAGATTTTATCCTTGAGATATTTTCTTGCCCATTTGTTTTCCGATGCATTCACTGTGTACCCATACACAGTTTGCCTGCTATACCGGAGGAGCTCATATAAAACATAAGCTGTCCTGTTGTTGGTAATCAGCATAGTATGTGCGTGCCATCTCTTACTCAATAGATCCTTAATTATCAGCACTTTCATGTTTGCATTTACTCCCAAACGCAGTCTCCCCATTTCAGACACAACCCCTCTCACTCCCAGCTGGCACAGTTGCGTTCAATTAGACTTTAATGTGTAGGAGAATTCTATTCTCTTGATTAAATAATAAATAATAATATTGGATATTCTATTCCAGAGATTCTATTGCTGGATCCTGGACATGAGTATTTATTTTAATGAATGAAATGGCTTCAACGCATTTGCTGCAAACGGAAGTCACACTTCTCGTCATTGTAGCCGGAATTGGCGGTGGTGATTCTCATATGATATCCTGTGACTCAGTCAATTCATAACCACGATGTTCTGCTTCTCCTTGTCAAATGGTGGCTGGCATCAGCGACTCGCAGATAAGAAATGTGTTGATGCTGTTCGTGATGATGGGAGAAGAGAAATCCATCCAGACACCCATCGTCTCTTTACCTCAGAGGGCAATCTCACCATCGTCAGTTGACTGATTGCAGATTTCTCAATGTCCAAAGGTTGTAAACACCGCCCCGAGCCCGCGGGGGGCAAGTGAGGAGGCTCTGACCATCACCCACACACAATCACACCGTTCATTATCTCACTGTCCTGACACAGGACAGTACGGGCAGCACAGACTGATGGCCTGACCGCTCACACAACACCTCCACACACTGGTTTTGGAAAATTAGCTGATGTCCGGCCAGGATCACAAGGTCTAATCCTCAAATGTGTCTTTTTGTTCCATTGGTTACCAGGCAGATACATACACACACGAGAGACCTGAGTTCAATTCCAGGCAGGTCAGGGCGAAACCTTGGGCAAGTTTCCTTACTCCACACAGAGCCTAATAATAATCCCTCCAAAACCCAAAACAATAATAAATTGGTCATTTTCAATCTACGACTGTTTGTGGGACATTGCTGTGCGCAATTGGCTGCCGCGTTCGCCCACAAATGTACAGTCAATTCACTTTACAGTGTGTTCTGTGAAGCGCTTTGGGACGTCCTCCCGACGTGAAAAGCGCTATATCAAATGCAAGGATTATTATTATTATTATATCTGCCTGGTAACCAATGTAACAATATATATAGATAGATATATTGTTCTGATTTCTTGGACCCTGAAAGCATATCTATATATATATGTGTTCTCAGTTCATTGTTTACGCAATTGTAGCCTTGATCTTTTTTAAGTGCCAGAGCCTCACACTGCCAGCCATCCTGCCTGCCAGCCATCCTGCCTGCCAGCCATCCTGCCTGCCAGCCATCCTGCCTGCCATCCTGCCAGCCATCCTGCCAGCCATCCTGCCATCCTGCCTGCCATCCAGCCATCCTGCCTGCCAGCCATCCTGCCTGCCAGCCATCCTGCCTGCCATCCTGCCAGCCATCCTGCCATCCTGCCTGCCAGCCATCCTCCCTGCCATCCTGCCTGCCATCCTGCCAGCCATCCTGCCATCCTGCCTGCCATCCTGCCTGCCATCCTGCCAGCCATCCAGCCATCCTGCCTGCCATCCTGCCAGCCACCCTGCTTGCCATCCTGCCTGCCTGCCATCCTGCCTGCCATCCTGCCAGCCATCCTGCCTGCCATCCTGCCATCTTGCCTGCCATCCTGCCAGCCACCCTGCCTGCCATCCTGCCATCCTGCCTGCCTGCCATCCTGCCTGCCTGCCATCCTGCCCGGGGTGCGGGCACTCTGCTCTGCCATTCACTCCCTCTCGCTCTCCCCGCAGCGCTGCCAGGAATTACACTACGTTTGTAGCCCAAAGCCGCTAAACACCAGCCCCAAAATAGCCCAACGTCGCGTCTTGTCTGTTGTGGATAAGCAGAACGGCCAATTGAGGTCAGTGTTTTTGAAACTGTAAGGAAAGGTCCTCGATGAAAGCAAATACCTTTTTCAGGTTTAAATAACGCATTTTAAAAATGAGTCACCCGCCCAAAGCCGAGTTTTCTCGCACAGCACAAAAAAAACCGCCCAATTGGGCGTGAAGCCGCCCAACGTGGCCACATTGGAGGCATGACGTAATCGCGCATTAATCCAGGTTGGGAGGGAGGGGTGGGAGCGGGCGGTGATTGACGGCCACGATGACCAGTGAGGAGGCAGCAAGTGGGCGGGAGTGTAAGAAACGGCCCAATGGGCGCGGTAGTGGTGCTGAGGGCCCGCCCCCTGGTGTGGAGGCCGCTGTCATGTGAAGGCGAGGAGAGGGAACTTGGGCTGCGGAGACACACAACACTGGGTCCCGAGCACCGCCGAGAGACAGGCCGCCCCCCCTCCCCCCCCGGAGCCGCGACACACGCTCACACACGACGGCAAGTCAGCCCGCCTCGCGAGTCGGCAATGTGGATGAGGTGAGCTGCGAGGCCGCTGGTTGCTAAGGGCCTTCTTCCCTGCTCTCCCAACCCGCAGCCAAGTCGAGGGCGAGTGGCCGCCCGGCCGGGGAGCCGGGCTGGGGGGGGAGGGAGGGAGGGAGAGAGACCACAGCCATGTGAAGTGGTTTGTGATGGCGGCCTGAGCTCTCGCTGCTCTTCCCCCCCCCCCACCCGAGAGGGTGAAGTCTGACCCCCCGCCATCACCGCCCGTCGCCCCCGCGGCGCGGGCTCCCAACCCCGCACCTGGTCGGCGCTTCGCTTCGCTTCACTCGGTAACCCGCGGTGGTGTCTTCCTCGCCGCTGCCGCTGCCGCGCCACCACCACCCACCCACCCTCCCACAGCGGCAGGTCTGACCGCCCAGACCTTCCCCTCGTAACTTCCAAAAGTTTTCGTTCCTCCCACTCTGTCTGTTATGTTTCTGGAATAATCTGCTGGTCCCTGGCCATGCCGGTGGACTTCCTGAATTTTAATGCACCTTCCTCGTCCAGGACTATTTAACCCTCGTCTCCCCGGGACCGGATCGAAGTTGTCCGTCTGCCTTGTCTGTAACTTGCTGTCAAAGTCAGTCCACAGCCCCTGTTACAGTGCGCCCCTGTTCCCAATCCTCGTTGGATGAGTTGATGTAAATCGTGTTGCTAATAACAGGAGCATTTGTCCGTCTGGGTTTAGCCACAAACGCTTCACCAAGTGCAGTTAGACCAATTGCAGGGAGCGAGTCAGTGTAACCAACCGATCGTGGCATAATCTCGACCTCTTTCTCCATGTGGAAGTTTGACACATTAAGTGTTTCGTATATATGCAGCAATTTATTCCATCTTGTACAGTGGTGTGTACTTAAAAAAATAGGTGACGAGAAATATGCTGCAGATAATGAATCGGATGTTACAGGGCAAGAACCGCCATGAGATTAATGGAGCTTGAGTATGAATGTCTTGTACCACATATGTTGACGTAGCCTCCGTGAAGTATGTTTTTACATTTATGGAGATTCAATTGTGAACTGTATTTGTAAGAACAGGAGTATCATACTCATACCAGTCTGTAACCCTTGCCAGTTTACAACAATAATAATCCTTGTGTTTGATATAATGCCTTATGTCACTGAGATGTCTCTAAACTCTTCACAGGATATACTAAACACCAAAGGCTGGCTCTCATTACTGAATCCAAGTGTAATGTCAAATGTTTTCATCAAATATTGCTTGGATAACAATGTGTATATTGTACAGTTACAATATTTAAGATTGAGGATTTTATGAACATTAACTGAGCTCAACAGAGTGTTGAATGTTCAAAAGCAGCAGCTAACAACAATGGACTTTTTAATAAAAAATATATATATATTGCTGTCTTTTTCCCTTATTTCCTATTGGAGGATTATCATTAGAATTTTTATTATATTTTTGCTGTCATTTTGTTCACTGAGTTTTGCTGAGTGACAGAAAAGGAAGGTTTAAGTTGTGAACTAAGACTGGAATTGGAGAATTTTCTTCTAAACTAGTTTACTGTAATATGCTTGTTTATATTTATGGTTGAAATGAATAGGATATGTGTGTGTGGGATAATGTAGACTGGACTGCATTGCACAATATTAATGCGTTTAAAGATTGAGAAAATGTCAAACTGACAAACTGACTAAAACTTCAGTCGCTTATCAACATATCAACTGACTGTGTTCCATGTTTTGAAAATTACTTCAGACCGTTTGTGTAATACTGCATATGCAAGTGAAGGGTATACAAACATTTTGCAAGCATTAACCCCCTAACCCCTGAAAATAGGTGACAGACTTCTATTTAACCTTATGATTAGATCTAAGTGGCATTGTACCTACCATACGATTGCAGGTATGCTATAGGGAATATTGTACTTTTTACTTTATATATTGTAAAGTGACAGTGCCTGTGACAATGGTATGACAATACTAATACAGCAATGACTTGTTGAGATGATGCCAAATCATAAGTTCCAGGAGTGAAGCTCTATGGTTCATTAATGTCATCTCAACTGTGTAATTTGTTTCTGCTTTGGAATTAATTCCTGAGTTTATCATCTCCACATGCTTGGGCATCAATGTATTGAAGCATTGTACTATACCTCTAACAACTATTTTCACAGCCAATCCAACAAGCAGATTTCTCTCAGTCCCCGTGTTTTTCGTGAATGTGCTCTGATAATAATAATCCTTGCATTTGATTTAGTGACTTATCATGTCTTCAAGACATTTCAAAGCGCTTCACAGACTATACTGTAGAGTGAATTGACTACATTTTCTGGGTGAAATGATCTCATAGAATAGTAGCAATTCAGATGAACAATAAACCTGAAGTGACTGTACTACAGTATCTATCCATACTTTACAAAATCTCTCATAAGATAGGTACTGAAGCAAGGTTTGATATTAAAACAATAGTAGTTTTATTTGAAGTCAATTATAACCAGTAATAAATACTGAGATGTTATTGAGCATTGAAAATTACCTTTCTGCTATTCTGTTAGGCCAGAATTCTTTTGTAGACTACATTTTGTGCATTCATTTCTTACACTTTACAAAAGAGAAAATCAAGATTTCTCATGGCAAGCATCTCAGGGGAAAAAAATTCCCAGCATTTGCGACATTAGTGGTAGAATTCAAGAAACTCTTTTAGCTTACGTTTGTTGGATTCAAATGTTCATTTTTTTAAGGAATGGATGCAAAGATCAAATCTAGTAACTTTATATTATAATAGTACTATAATGTATAAATTCTAGATGTCGTGACATGTTCCTAGTCTTGACCTGTACATGGATAAGGCAATTCATACTGCTTGATTGTTTATAAGAACATACTGGATGTTCAGTCAATTCAGGCTTAAAGATTCTGCATTTTAATCCTGATTTGCCCAACCTTTATCCCTTTGAGGCCAATAAAATGAGTAAGTGTGCTAAAATTAGAGGGAGGTACACCTCGTAGGTCGGCAGTATTGCAAGGCAGAATTGGAGATGGAGCCAAAGCCCATTTAGTAGAGCAACTCCTTTTGAATAAGTAATATGCTGTATGGTTACTTATGGTTGAGAATTAAATAAAACCATCTGTATGTATTAAAGACCTCTGAAAACATCTTTAGATGATAACTTTTCTGTAATGGACAGTTCCTTCAGGTTTAGGGTAACCTAAACCCTGAAGGAACTGTCCATTACATTGATACCGTCACTCTGAGACTGGAATTTTGTTCAATTGCCTTTTGTCTTTGAAAAACGTATAAAGGTTTTATATGTTTGCAAAGTTGTATAAATATTTTTTTCTTTGTTTCTGAAACCAGTACAAGGGCAAGCTACAGTAGTTAGTGAATGTGATGCTTTCTGTGTAGTAGGAAACTGATATTAACTATCAGTTTTTTTTACTGTATAGGCAAAATATGTTCAAGGCTGAGGATTGTACTTAACAATAGTGTACATCACAGTTTAAAGATGCTGTGGTAGGGTTCACTGGACCCCATTATTCATTATTGTGAGCATTGACTGTGAGTGTCAGTGGGTTATTTGATCATGAAAGCATTGCAATTGAGCCACAATCTTTCTTCATGGGATTTCCAAACATTCCCACTTTATATCAGGGGTCAATGAAAACAGCTGATTTTGTTTTCTACCTCCTCAATCAATGGATGATGAGGCAAAATTTTAACTGGGATCAGCTAACTTAGCATAGATTGGGATTCAAACCTGGAACCTTTTTGATCTGTATGTCTTGAATTTTGACTGAAAAAAAGTTGCTAAATCACCGTGAAGTCTTTTCAAAGCTTTTGGTAACTTTATTCAGTCATGTAATGCACAAATGGAAAAATTCAATGACACATTTACAACTGACTAAAAATGAATGAGTCAGGAATTTTTGTTTCCACACTGTGGTCTGTCGAAGAGGATTAAAGCTGGGTTTACTTTGTGGAGGCTGCTAACCTTGGCTGTTTATATATGCTGATACTCATGCACATTTGTATATTATGTATATGCTATAATTTGCTTCAAGTGTGTCTGTTAATTCTAAATTAGTTGTAAATTCTTTAAGCATGTCTTTTGGGTGAAGATGATGTTCTTGGAGATGATTTGACAGATTGCTTAAATGTAGTCATTCCTGGGGATAGTATTGTTTTAAATTGTGGTACTGTATTACAGTGGATTATAATTGTGGTACTGGTTCCCAGCTTAGTTAGTAGTACTTTTGTCTGAGTCAGTATGTTGGGACTTTGAATTCAAAGTTGATGCTACATTATCTAAGGTGCTGTCCTTCGGATGAGACGTTAAACTGAGGTCCATCTGGTTGTTTTGGTGGCCCTTAGGGATACCAAGACGTGATTCAAAAAGGAAGAGAGTTACTCCTTGTGTCCTGACCAAGAATCCTCAATATAAATGGACCATGGTATTTGCAAGAGATTTGTGCTGGAGCCAGATTTCATGCTCTTATATTATATCCGGGAGAATTTATCTAAGTTTATTGATAGGACAAAGCTAGGAGTTCATAGAATCATACAGCACAGAAGGAGGCCATTTGGCCCATCGTGTATGTGCCGCCTCTTTTGAAAGAGCTATCCAAATCAATCCCACTCCCCTGTCTCTCCCAATAACCCTGCTAACTTATCCTCCCCAAATAATTATCTATTTATCTCTTAAAAGTTGTTATCAAATCATCTTCCACCACCCTTTCAGGCAATGCATTCCAGATCTGAACAACTCTCTGTGTGAAAAAAATTCTCCTCACCTCCCCTCTGTTTCTTTTAACAACTATTTTAAATCGGTGCCTTCGGGTTATCAATGCACCCACCCAAGCGGAAATAGTTTCTGCTTGTTCACCCTATCGAATCCCCTCATGATTTTGAAAACTTCTATTTAGTCTCCTCTTAACCTACTCTGCTCCAAGGAGAATAATCCTAGCTTCTCTAGCCTCTCCTGATAACTGAAGTCGCTCATTCCTGGTACCATCCAGGTAAATCTCCTTTGTACC